CCTCGGGCCCCGCGCCCAGAGCTGCTGGGCAAATTACCCCCGCATAGACCCGGCAGCTCATCCTTTGTTTCCTCACGTCTGACATGGAGCAAGGATGCCGCCTTCTGGCGGTGGATCTGGCCCTCCACGCACGCTCCGACATGGACCGTCGCGATGGACCCGCCGCCGGCTGGCATCCCCCCAGAGCTGATCGATGCCTACAGTGCGGGCGCGGTCGCAAGAAACCGTCGCAAGAAACCCAACCCTGAAAACCCGCGCGCGAGGTGCAACTGAGGGGAAACCCGGAGCACCCCGAACGCAGCAGCCCCTTCAACGGCCGCGGGAAGTCACCGCGCATCGCGCGGAGCGAAGTAACCCAGAGTACCCTGACGAAAAGCAGATGGTTTCTTGATGCGCGCCCCCACTGTAGGGGGCCGAGAAGATGGCGGGGCGTTGCAGGGGAGCGGGCCCCGCGCCCAAGGAAGCGAGGGGCGCCCCCGCCTCGCCATCCCCGCGTCCGTCGTGTGCCCCACGCGGCGGCCGGCCAAGGCTGGCTGGAGCCCTCCCCCTAAGGGCATCTCCTGCAGCCTCCCGCGAAGTGCTCGGACCCCCCCCCCTCGTTCTTTAAAGCAGCTGCCGCGGGTTCGACCCGCCCCCCCCCCCGACCCCCCCTCCCGCCTCTGCGGACCTGACGACTCCGTGCTCGGGTCCGCCGCAGGGGGGGCCCATCACATTTCCCCCTCGGGCGCAGACGACGACCATCGACTGCAACCTGGGCACGGGCCTGGCCCTTGGGGGAGCGATCGGAGAAGGCCCCTGCCCACCCCACCAGGACGCCGTCAGACGCCGGGTTGCTGGGCGATGCTGGCGCCTGCGACGCCAGAGCAGCACCTGCGCTGGTCCTCCGGAAGATACACGAGCAGCCGGCCACACTGGGGGCGGCTCTGCGCCTGGGGCGGCGCCGCCCCGCATGCGGGGCCCGACAAGCCCCACCCTCTCGGACCCCTCCCCCTCCTGTGCGCTGCAGAATGTTTTGGGGAGTGGCAGCGCGTGATGGTTCAGGGGCGGAGGGACTTGGGGGTGGCCGCCCCCAGCTCTTCACTCTTGCGGGGCTGAAGTCCACCTTGCGCCACTGCCGAAGGCGGCCCAGCCGTGGGGGGGCTGCGGGGGGGGGGGGCAACCCAGGTGCTTGCCTCCTGCTCGCTTGCCCGTTCGGCCGTCTGGCCGCTGGCTGCCGTCGTCCGCTCGCCTGCTTGCCGTCTCGCCGTGTCGTCCTTGGTCGTCGCTGTGTCGTCTGCGGCCCCTGTCGGCCGCCTTGGGGCCGGCGTGCCGGCCCGCGTCGCTCTCGCCTGTGCGCCTTGTCGTGTCGTTGCCGTCCTGCGTCGCCGCCGTTGTCGCTGTCGCGCTGGGTCGCTTCGTGCTGTCGCTCCTGCCCCCGGGCGGGTGCTGCCTTCGCGCCCGGTCAGGTCCTGCTGCTCCTTGGCTTGGGCGCCTTCCCCGTGCCCCTGGCCCTCCCTCGTGCCCTCGGCGGGGGGAGCCCGGGGATAACCCGGGTGAGTCCTGGAGGCGGCGGCGGCGGAGACCGGAGCGCTCCAGACGAGCCTGCACCTGGACAGCCTGCAGGCCGCCCCGAGGACCACTGCCCTGACCTTCCAGGAGGGCTAAAAAATAGCACCCGACGTAAAAACCTATCCCAGAGCTATTTTACGTCTTGGTTTTAGGCTGTTTCGTCTCGTTTTTTAGGTTTTGAGGCTTCCAGTGCTAAAAAATAGCTCTCTGGAAGGTCAGGGTGGCGGCCCCCTGCTCCACCAGTGGCTGCCACGATCGAGCCCGGCGCCGCGGCTCGTCCTGGAGGGCCCTCCCTGCCCTCCCGCCTTCCTCCTCCTCCGTGTCCTCGCAGGCTGGCTCTCCCTCCTTTTGGCCCGGGTCCGCTGGGCCTCCTCCGCTCTCGTGGCTTCCCCCTCGTCCCGCCCCTCCTCCCAGGCGCTGCGGCGTCGTGCTTTTTTCATGGCGTCGACCCCGAGAGGTCTGGACTCCTTCCCAGGGACCGGCTTTTCATCCTGAGTCGTGTTGTTGACGGTCCCGAGGCCCTGGAAAGGCCCCCAGAGGCCGAAGATAATGAAAAACCTCCCGTCGTGACCTTTTTCACGACGCGAGGGGGTCTGGGTCTGGCTCCCCCCCCCCGTCAGCCCAAAGCCACTGGCCGCGCCCGTCCGTCGCCTGTCCCAGGCGTACCGTCTCACCCTATGCCGCATCGCATCTTCGACCCCAGCCAGCCTTCGCCCGCGGCGAGGCCCGCGGAGGCAAAAAGAGGAGGAGGAGGAGGAAGAGGAGGAGGAGGAGGAGGAGGAGGAGGAGGAGGAGGGCAGAGGGGAGGAGGGAGAACGAGAAGGAGAAGGAAAAGGAGGAGGAGGATTTGTTAACAAAGCCTTTACTGACGAGCAGCCTTGCTCCGCCAGCCGGAAACACCCGACCCGAGCGATGGGAAACGTGAGAGAACCACAGCCGAAGGGCCAAAGACTAATCGGAGTCCGAGGACTCCGAGCGGCTTACGCGAAGGAGGAGGAGGAGGAGGAGGAGGAGGAGGAGGAGGAGGAGGAGGAGGGGGAGGGAGGAAGGAGGAGGAGGACGAGGAGGAGGGCTAGGACGAGGGAGAGGGAGGGAGGAGGAGAAGGAGGAGGTAGAGGAGGAGGAGGGAGGAGGGAGGAGGGACAGTGTAAACCCACGAGTCATCAACGATGTTGACATAAACCCTCCCTCCAAGCTGCCTCTTCATAGCCACCTACGAGGTTCATTGTCATTGAAGGAACTTCCTCGTTGGAAGACGACCGTATGAAGACACAGAAGCATGCCAAAACATTACTCTCGGGACTCCAACGCCACGAATCAACCTGGTTGTTGCGTCTTGACGATCCTGAGTCGTGCCAGAACACCATTCCTGTGACTTCAACACCGCGAATCAACGAGAATGTTCCGACCTCATAACCTTGAATCTCTCCTAAACATCATTTCTGGTACGTTGGCCATGGGACTCCGTGAAATTATTGCAAGCTTTGAGAACGAATGTGCGCGGCGCTAAGGCGAGAGCCACATTTTGAAAACGACCCGCCCTCAAACCACGAAACTCATTGAAATGTTGAAAACGAATGCGTGCGGCGCTAAGTCGGGAACCAGATGTTGAAAAAGACCCACCTTCAATCCGTGAAACGCCTGCACATGTTCAAGACGAATGTGCGCGGCACGAAGGCGAGAGCCACATTCTGAAAACGACCCACCCACAACCCGAGCACCTTTTTGCAAACAGTTAGAACGAATGTGCGCGGCGCTAATAACGAGAACCACATTTTGAACACGACCCGCCCTCAAACCGTGAACTTGCGAAATTTGAAAACAAATGCGCGCTGCGCTAAGACGAGAGCCACAATTTGAAAACGACATGCCCTCAACCCGTGAAACTCTTGCAACATTTGAAACGAATGTGCGCTGCGCTAAGGCGAGAACCACATTTTGCAAAGGAGCCGCCCTCAATCCGTGAAATTCTGGCACATGAACGAATGTGCGCGGCGCTAAGGCGAGAGCCACATTTTGAAAACGACCCGACTTCAACCCGTGAAACTCTTCCAAAGTTTGACGACGAATGTGTGCGGCGCTAAAGCGGAGACCACATGTTGAAAACGACCCGCCTTCAACCCGTGAAATTCTTAGGGATTGTACAAACGAATGCGCGCGGCGCTGAATCGAGAGCCACATGTTGAAGATGACCCGCCCTCAATTCGCGAGGCTCCTGCAAATGTTGATAACGAGTGCGCCCGGCGCCATAGCGAGAGCCACAGTTTTAAAAAACGACCCACCCTCCATCCGCGGAGCTCCTGCAAAGCTTGCAAGAGAATGCACGGAGCTAAGGCGAGAGCCACACTTGGAAAACGACCCGCCCTCCTGCAAATGTTGGAGAAGGTCTGTGCGCGGAGCGAAGGCGAGACCCACATTTTGAGAGCTAAAATGATCAGAACGAATGTGCGCGGCGCCGAGGCGAGAGCCACATTTTGAAAATGGCCCGCCCTCATCGGTGAAGCTATTGCTACTTGTTACGCTTCAGAGTCATAACTGGTGAGGAAGTTTCACGAAAAAAAAGGATGCGACAGGGAAAAGTTATGTATAAGGAAAACGAATGGAAGAGGAGGGGGAGGAGGAGGAGGAGGAGGAGAAGGAGGAGAAGGAGGAGGAGGTTTGAGGGAGGGAGGGAGGAGGGAGGAGAAGAGCAGAGGGGAAGTGAAGGAGAAGGGGGGGCGAAGATGAGGACGGCAGAGGGGAGGAGGGAGGCGAAGAACGAAAAGGGGGGCAGAGAACAGATTGGAAAAGAGAAGGGAGGCGAAGGGACGAGAGAGGGAGCCAGGGCAAAGGACGAAGGCGAGGGCAGATTTACCACTTCCAGCATGCCACCACGTTTAGGCTCCGGGAAGTTGGCAGGAGCGAGCTTTCACTCGCGGCTTCGGAACGCCTCGGCAAAGCAGTCCTTAGAGCGTTCTGCAAAACCGTACCTGCCTTGACCCGCCCCCCCCCACCCCTGCATTTTCGCTCGGAAAGGCCCTCCTGCATCCTCCGTTCAACCTCCTCCTCCCAATCATCATCCCTCTCTCCTGGCTCCTCTCCCCTCCTTTCCCTCCCCCCATCCATCGTCTCTCCACCCCCCCCCTCCTCCCCCTCCCATCCTCCCCTCCGCCCCCCTCCCCCCTCCCTCCAGAGGACAGAAGGGGGGATGAAGGATAGCAAGAATGGAGGACGGAAGGAGGAATGAGAAGGCTGGATGATGAAAAAAAGAAAGGAGACGAGGAACGAGGAAGGATGGAGAAGGGGAGAGGGAGAATAACATCGAGCGAAGAAGAAGAGAGCAGGGCAAAGAGGAGGGATGAGGACGACGACGACGACGACGACGACGACGACGACGACGACGACGACGACGACGACGACGACGACGACGACGGTCCGACGTAGGCCAAATGCCCTCGGGCGACGGCCGGCTCCTCTTCGACCTCGAGCCTGGTCCGTTCGGCGATGGCCAGAGCCTCAGCCTCACCCGCGGGGACGGGGGGGTCCCCCCTCTCCTCCTCCTCCTCCTCCTCCTCCTCCTCCTCCTCCTCCTCCTCTTCCCCCTCCTCCTACTCCCTCCATCCCTCCCTCCCTCACTCCTCCCTCCCTCCCTC